CTCATCAAGAGCTTTCATTTGAGCACCCACATGCATTTTTGATATATTTTTCATATATACATATATATAATATATATAAATATATGAAAAATTGATGTGGGTATTCAAATGAAAGGTCTCGATGAGTGAAACATCAGGATGAGCTTATATCTTTAAAAATGTCAATAGTTATATGAAACTAATGTCAATAATGATATGAAACCTTTTAAAGGCACAAACTACAAAGACCTTTGCAATGACACTAAATTCAACTAAAAATACCGATTTTATCATATGACTATTCTCAACACAAAACTTTTCTTATTCTGTTAATAATATAGATAATTTTTTACAGTGCCTAGCAGCGGGTGTAATTCAATTGTATTTAACAGAATTACCCGACCACCGAGAATGGATAAAAAAAAATACCGGAATAATAACATTGATACGGGATAACCCGAAAAGAAGTTATTTTCTAAGATTATATTGTCCGCAACGAAAAGCAATGCTGTGGGAACAAGAGCTGTACAATTCGATGGACTACAATGCTCCGCTGACATATTTCCATACATTTGAAGGCGAAGAATGTATGGTTGCATTTAATTTTGCTAATGAAACCGAAGCCGTTATTATGAGGTAATTATTTAATTTAGAAAATTACTGTAATAGACCATTTACTCAACTTCTAAATAATCAAATGATTATAATGATGATGATGATGATGATAATGATAACATTGTTCGTAGGAATATTATTTTAGAAAGACTCAATAGCAATAAACAGAGGCGGCAGGAGCGTAAAACTAGAATAGAAACAGATACTCAGCAAAAAGTAGTCACGTTGCCAAGGAGGAGCCCCAATAGCTCCACTAATTTTTTCTCTTCGACCACCAGTGTCAATATGATGAATGGGTCCTCATCTTCGGTCAGTGTCAACGGGGGTTTGTCTGGTAGCGCGATGTATTTGAGGAAGAAAAAGCGCAAGAAAGATCACAAAAGAAAATTAACTGTAGCTGATATTAGTCAACCTTCAAATTTTAGGTAATTATTTCTAATAGTATTTACTAAATTAATTATAATTAAAAAATAGTTTTTTTTTTTTTTTAAATTACATTTTTAGTTTTTAAACTTTTTTTACAATAAAAAAATTTTTTAAACGTTCTTTTGAATGATGCTGAAATTAAGAGACATCTGATAATTAAAAAAAATTTTTTTAACAAATAAATTATAGCAAGTAAAATGTATTTAAAAAATTCCATCTTCAGGAGGTTTAAAAAATTACAAGTGCAATTTTAAAAAATAATTTTCTAGACGTAATTTATTTAGAAAGAAAAATAAAAAAAAATTGTCATTTATTAAAAACTTAAAAAACTGTAAGTGCAATTTTTAAAAAATATTTTTTTGTTCTAATTTAATTATTAAAAAAAAAATCAAATTAAAAACGTCGGCTAATTTTAGTATCATAATTTATAATAATAAAGTTAGCTGACATTTTTGATTTTTTTATTATGCTTAATTTATTAAATTACAACTAAAAAATATTTTTAAAAAATTGCACTTGTAGTTTTTGAAGTTTTTAACAAATGAAAAAAATTTTTTAATAAAAAAAATTATAAAATTTTTTTTCATTCACAATTTCAGTGTTATTCTTTTAAAAAATATTTCACCAGCTTGTAAAAATTAATAATATTTTTTTTTTTAATTTTTACAGACACGTAGTGCATTTAGGTAGTGACACGAGTAAATGTATCGACCCAGAGTCAATAGATCCAACATTAAGAAAATTTTTCGACGTAGCTGGTGTGACAAAGCAGCAACTGACAAGCCGTGAGACCCGTGACTTTATTTATGATTTTATTCTTGGCCACGGCGGAATAACAGCTGTGAAAAATGAATTAGGTTTAACAAGTACTTCGGTTCCAACATCCGCAGATAACAATCATCATCCCTTACCTCCCCCGCCACCGACAGCAGACAATCCACCACCGATACCAGCTCGAACGGTCCCCGTTACCAGCAGTCCGGGAATAAATAATGTAAGTACTTATATTATCAACAATACAGTAACAATTACAGTACATACCAGTAGCATCATTACGTGTGATGGGTATTAAATTACAGAATTAATATAATAAATATTTAACATGCAAGAGGTCTCACGTATTGTGTCACACGTTTATTTATAGAACCAATCGCGGACTACGAGACCTTTGCCTCCAGCACGGACAAACGTCCCGCCACCCCCGCCAAGCGCTCCACCTGCACACAGGACTCTGCCGTCGAGGCCACCACCGCCAGCAGGATCACCCGCGCTGCCTCCGCCGCCTCCCGCGGTTCCGCCGCCACCGCCTAGGAGCAGCTCAAGTATATCCAATGTGTCGAATTCTTCGGGGAGTGCTCCAGCTCCTCCACCTCCGCCACCTCCACCACCTCCTCTTCCGGAGCTCAATGCGGACAATAGTCCCGCGAGTAATTTTAATTCTTCGTCGTCTTCTATTAGTGGTAATAATAACGGTGAATTTAACGACTTGAGGCCGAAACTTATGGATGCAATTAGAAGTGGCACTACTCTTAAGGTGAGTTTATTGTTTTACAAGTTTGTAATTGGTTGTTATTTCTATTTATTAGCCGTGAGAAATTTAATATTCTTTATTTATTTTATAAAATACTAGCAACCTTGCAGTCACTATGTAACTGCTGAGAGTTGTGAGATATAAAATATTAAAATTTTGTTTTATTAAGTAATGACTTGTTAAATTGCACTGTACTTTCTTAAATATTGACCTTTTTTAAGATATAAGCTCATCCTGGCATTACACTCATCAAGAGCTTTCATTTGAGTACCCACATGCAATTTTGATATATTTTTCATATATACATATATATAACATATATTTTAAAGATATAAGCTCATCCCGATGTTACACTCGTCAAGAGCTTTCATTTGAGTACCCAGATGCATATTTGATATATTTTTCATATATACATATATACATAAAATATATAAATATATGAAATATATAAAAAATTGATGTGAGCTTATATCTTTAAAAATGTCAATATTTCACAAGATACAAGGTCATTTCTTAATTGTTGACATTTTTTAAGATATAAACTCATCCCAATGTTACACTCATTAAGACCTTTCATTTGAGTACCCATTTGCATTTTTGATATATTTCTCATATATACATATATATAAATATATAAAATATATGAAAAATTGATGTGGGTACTCAAATGAAAGGTCTTAACGAGTGTAACATCAGGATGAGCTTAAATCTTTAAAAATGTCAATATTTCTCAAGATACAAGGTCATTTCTTAATTATAATTAAATTGTTACAAAATTTAAAAAAATTTTTAAATTCGGTATCTTAATTTTGCATCTCTGACACAAAATAATAAATTGATAAAAATTACAGAAAGTCGAGCAAACAGAAAAGAAGACAACTCCCGTTATGGACTCGAGAAGTGATTTACTAAATCAAATAAGGCAAGGAGTTGAATTAAAACCCGTGGTTAATGAACCAAAACCAGCTTCGATAGGAGTCGCTCAAGGTGGACTGGCCTCGGCTCTGTCGGCAGCTCTAGCCGAGCGGTCGCGTTTGCTTGGTTACACTGGGGACAGTCAAGACTCGAGCAGTGGTACCAGTGATGACGATGAGTGGGACGATTAGATTTAAATACTAAGTATTTTAAAATAAAAATGCCAACAAACCTTTGGAGTGAAGTGAAAATTATAGTGTGACTATATATCCCATTTGGTTGATTAATATAACCAAGGTCATCATTATTCTTATTATTATTACTATTAATAACATGAATATATTTTTGGTAAGCGTGTATTTATTTTATAAATATATATTATGTATTTATTAATATTTTTAATTAGCACGCTTCAGCCAATCGCTCACGGTATTGAGTTATTAATCGTCAGTGTTTATTTAAATTAATTAAATAATATTTTTTTAGTTTATTTCTTCTTTAAATACTGAATAAGTGACGCCGTAATTAAATAGTTGGCCTAATCTAATGTCATTTAAATCGTCATATCATGCGTTTTATCTACATTCGACTGCACATGTATACATATGTATATAAAAATTGTCGAGTTTTATTTTTTTTTTTTCGTAAATAAGTCGTACAGAAAAAAAAAAAGGTGATTATTAAAATGTATAAAGGGTAAAGTGTGTAAGAAAAATTTTATTAGATATAAATTATAAAATTTATCTATTCACCACTAAGGAGAAATCCTAGTCAAGCTTCATAAGATTACGTAAATTAATTAGTTATAAATTTAATGTTATTTTCTTTTTATTTCTTCTAACTTAAAAATTTTAAGTTTATTCCAAGTAAGAAAATTTATACTTGACACAATTTTGGTATCAGGCGTCTTGATCCTCCGATAAAAAATCCCTCAGAAAATACTCCCGACAAAATATCTCAAAAAAAAAAAAAATGCCTGCGATTCAATATCATTGCGACAAAATATTTAAATATATAAATATTGATCTTTTTAAGATTAATAATGTCGAATAAACACACACAAAGTTCATGATAAAAGAGCACAATACAACACTGTAACAAGTTTATGCTTCGGCGTATTTTTTTTTTTTTAGATAAACATATTGTTAAAATGCCATTAATGTGTTAAAATAAAATTGATAATTTTTTTTCAAATTTATTCTTTTAAATTGTTTTATTGAAGAATTTAATTATTTAAGATATTTTGTCCGGGGATATTTATTTTGAGGATATTTTGACAGAATCCGCGAAAAAATTTTAAAGTTATGAAAAATTCATATTATGTCATTAAAGTTATTATAAAATAATAATAATAATTTTTGTAACAAAAAATGGAACGATCATTCTGGGGTTGTTTGTTTTTTAATAAAATTGTGGGTGTAATACAATTATTATTATTAATTATTATTTTATTTTATAATAATTTAATGAATTTTTCATAACTTTAAAATTTTTTCCGGGTTTATTTTTTCCGAGGATATTTTGTCAGAGAATCAAGAATCATGAAACCCACAATTTTTAATTCCGTATTTGCGGTTTTTAAATAATTAAATAAGCACAAAAAAAATACGGTGATTATAAAACTAAATAAATGAATTTAAATAGATTTAGTTGAACTAACGACGCTAAGTCAAATTAACCCGGGAGCAGGATAGTAAAAAAAAATGTTTTAAGTGTTATTAAAACAAATTTATGTAGATTAGTTGATAAATAAAAAATCTGTTATGTTAAATCAATTGTATTATAAATACAAAGTTTCTTCCAATAGAATATTTTTGCATTATCTAATAAAGTGCGATATTTAGAGGTTGATAATTAAATAAATTAGAGTGATAATAACAATAACAAAGTAATAAATTTAATAACGAATTGTTATTCAATGAGTTGTCATGTGTAAAGGAAAGTATAGATATATTATTATTATTATTTATTAATCAATTTTTTCAAATTAGTCAGCATTAGTTACTGTACATAGATATTAATAAAATAGAACGGTATTAATAATTTTTTTTTCTTTAAAAGATAAATATTTGTGTATGTTTTTTTTTATTTTTATGTTATAATTTATCTCTTCTGTGCTAGCCTGCGTTATTTGTAATGTATATGATTATTAGCCGATTCGGAAAAAATATACTTGAAGAAAAAAAAATAAAAATTAAAAAGAAAATAAAAGATGTATATGAAAAAAAATATATTTGTTATTTTTAATATTTTATGTAATTAAAATTATGTAATTAAATGGACTAGAACGAGCGGTACTCTACATCTAAAATACTGAAAATTTAATTACTCAATAATGCTCGATGTCTATTTTTACGTAATTTTTTAAAATAAAAATCTTATTATAACTATATACAATATACATTTCCAAAGATAATTTAAGTTAACTTTTATAATTATTAATTAATGGAAATGATGATAAATCGTTGGAACACGATTTATTTCTTATATTTATAATTCAATTAATTAATTGCCTCGCCCTTGAAATTTATAATTTTTATACAAGATTCGATGATCTACTTAATTTAAAGTAATTTAATTTACATTGAATAAATCGCGAAAATTAAAATAACTGTTAGACATAAATTCATTTTTAACCGAGATTGTCCATTTCTCAGACCTTGCTGGTTTGGTTCATCGAGATTGTTTCCGCCAAAACTCCCAGCGTCTGGGTACCATGATTCAGTTACTGATTCCTGGTATGAAGAAAAATGTTTATTTAAATTATTATGCTCATATTTATAACTTATGACCTATGACTAAGTTTAAGGAATGAGTCAATTTGCATCAAGTTTAGGAAGAAAGTGTTAGTCTACAGATTCTTAGAAATTTTTATTTTTTTACCCAAAGATTTAAAACATGCTAATTTATTTCTATAGCAGAAATCAGACAGTTGTTAAATTACACTGTACTTTCTTAAATATTGACATTTTTAAAGATATAAGCTCATCCTGGCATTACACTCATCAAGAGCTTGCATTTGAGTACCCACATGCATTTTTGATATATTTGTCATATATACATATATGTAATATATATAATATATATAAATATATGAAAAATTGATGTGGGTACTCAAATGAAAGGTCTCGATGAATGTAACACCCTGATGAGCTTATATCTTTAAAAATGTCAATAATTGATAAAATACAATGTAATTTCTTAATTATTGACTTTTTTAAGATATAAGCTCATCCTGATGTTACACTCATCAAGGGCTTTCATTTGAGTACCCACATGTATTTTTGATATATTTGTCATATATACATATATGTAATATCTATAATATATATAAATATATGAGAAATTGATGTTGGTACTTAAATGAAAGGTCTCGATGAGTATATCATCAGGATGAGCTTATATCTTTAAAAATGTCAATATTTCACAAGATACAAGGTCATTTCTTAAAACTGTCAGACTTTTGCTAATTGAAAAAAAATCTAAGATAACTTCCCTTTATTTTTTTATAAAAAAATTCTTTTAAATAAAAGGGAAGTTAAGAAATTAAAATCTTACATCTTTAGAAGTTACCCAAGAACTAGTAGCCCAAGCTGGAATTTCCGTAGTGACTTTTGGAGTAGGTGTAGTCCAAGAAATACCTCTTCCATAATTTTGTGACCGCTGAGTAACAACGACAGCCGGTTCTTCAATACTATGGGCAATTGTAGAAGACTCTTTCTTCTCTTCAGTCGATTTAGTTTCAGGCTCTGTGGCTGAGCTGGCAGTACTCTTAGGTGTCGCGGATTCCGAACTGGGACTTGGAGATTCTGTAGTCGACTGCCGCTGAGTTTCAGCGGCGACGATCGTCGGCGCAGGGCGACTGTCAAACTCTTCATTCTCTACAAAGTGATAAATCACTGTATAAATACTTATGATAGGAATCAATAAGCTCGGCTATTTTAGGTTCGCATATATGTATATATATATATATATATATTTTTTTTTAATTCTATTGGAATAAAAGATTGTTTTACTTGGCAGAACATTCAGAGATCTTCCAGTGCTCCTGTATGGAGTCGGACCATTCATTGCACTAGTACTTGCTCCGTGGAAACTGCTTGCTTGACCAGAATAACTATCAGGAGATAATGTACGGTGATATGGACGACGACTGACACCTCGGCTGCTGGAGATGCTGGAGCTTTCGTCGATGGAACTTACTGACAGCGGGATCGTAGTATCAGTCACTGAATTTACGCAGTCTCTGTTGTTTGGACTAAAAATAATAAAATTTTGCTTTATTTAATAATGAGCCTTGTTAAATTGCACTGTACTTTCTTAAATATTGACCTTTTTAAAGATATAAGCTCATCCTGATGTTACATTCATCGAGAGCTTTCATTTGAGTACCCACATGCATTTTTGATATATTTTTCATATATACATATATATATAATATATATTTTAAAGATATAAGCTCATCCCGATGTTACACTCATCAAGAGCTTTCATTTGAGTACCCACATGCATTTTTGATATATTTTTCATATATACATATATATAAATATATAAATATATAAAATATATGAAAAATTGATGTGGGTACTCAAATGAAAGGTCTCGGTGAGTGTAACATCGGAATGAGTTTATTTTTTCAAAAATATCAATAGTTCACAAGATACAAGGTCATTTAATGAATTAACGAGTAATTAATTACTTACATATAATTTTGACATTGTTCTTGTAGAAAACTAAGAGCACGGTCAAGAATTTGCCGTGAAAATCTTGAAGCTGGACCTGAAGGATCGCCTCTGTCACATCTCTTACGTGTCTCAGTAATTACGCATGATCTAAAGTGTTGATGTAAGCTAAAAAGTAATTAGAAACTTTATTAGAAATTAGCAAAAAAAAAAAACAATTTAATAACAAAAATATGTAATTGTATTTTTATTTACCAGCAGAGATTAGCACGTGCCATTTCTCCACGCGAAACTTCGTTCACCAGGGCACTATATTCGTTTCCACAATGTTGCGGCTCTGTTACTGTTGCTTTTAAGCAACTAGCATGTTGAAGATACTCTAAAAATATTAATTAAATTATTTACTTATTAAGTAAGAAGAAATAGTTGATTATATTGACTTTTCTTCACTGTTATTCATTTATTATTTAACGGATCGTTTTAATTTAAGGGTAAGCGAATTAAATAGAGTACCAGCTTGATAAGTTGACACAGAGCACATTTGATGAACTGAAGAAATAGGAGCTTCGACCGCTGCATTAAATTGATCTCTTCTTTGCTTAGAGAAACAACGGTCGATATATCGCTTTATGCAGTCGACAAAACCTGCCCATGATCTGGAATAATTTATTATTATTATTATCCATTATTTTTTAAATTATAAATGATTCATTTATAAATTACAATTTTATTTATTTTTCAAAAGATTTAAAAAAAATTACTAAAGAAGAAATGACTTTTATGAAGATATTCATTTTTTAATTAATTACTGACAATTTTTTTTTTTTTTTATTTAGTTAGCATAAAAATGTTGTAACGCATTAAAATTAGGTATTACAGTTTTTAAATTAATTATAAATAATAATAATTAAATTTATTGCAGAAGTAAAAAAGAAAATGAATAAATTACCTGCAAACTAAATCAATGTCTTCCATATTATCAGGGAAGATAAGATGAGGATCTTTTAGCAATGGATCTGCTAACGTGATACATTTCTGATGATCTTCTCTCCCACACCCGTAACTTGAAATCACACTTGCACCGCCTGAATTAATATAAAAAAAAAAAAAAAAAAAAAAAAAAAAAAAAAAAAAAAGTCATAAATTACAAAAGCTCTGGGTAATTAGTGTGACCTAAATTTTAGTTATTCCTTAAAAATTTTAAAAATTACATTTTGATTTGATTTATTCAAGTAATATTTAATCAGTCAGGCAATTGACGAATTTGAATATTGACCCGCTGTTTAATTATTTAAATGAATATAAATAATTTATTCAATAGCAGCACTTGCCTTGGACATTTTATACTTGACATTTTAATAATAATAATGATTAATTAATTTTATTTTAGAGAATATACTTACTGACTAATATAAGCGCGAAAAGAACCAGCTGCGAGTACATTATTCAACGTTGATACGTTTTTACCTGTTAAAATAAAAGATTTAGTGATTATGATTGTTATTTAGGGCATGATTGTCATTATCAGCTATGACAAATTATAGCACGAGGGTGAGTAAATTATATCTAACAGGTGTGATATTGATTCAAGTGTACTCTAGTTTTGTTTAAAAATACATGTCAATGATAGTAAGATATAATTAAAAGTATGAAAATATTTTTTAAAAGATTCTTTAAGTAACTTCAATTATATCTTCAAGTTTTTACTTCAAGAAATTCTATTTAAAAGTTTAATAATGAACATAAACATTTTTTTTTTAATTTAATTTAAAATTACTTTTTTAAGTTTTCTTCTTTCATTTTTTTCACAGCAAATTTATAATCATAACTTTAAAAAAAATTTTGTTTAATTTTTTAGACATTAATATTTTACAATAAATTTTTTTTTTTAATTTTAAAGAGCAAAAAAAAGAAGAAAATTAAAAAAAATTCATAATAAAATTTAAATATTTTTTATAACTTTTTTTTTTTAAATTTATTTTAATTTTTTACATTTAATTAAAGATTTATAATTGAAGTGATAATTGAAAAAATCTTTTTATATTTTTGAGAAGAAATAAAATTAAAAATAAATTTTTATGCCCAAAAAATAATAAATAAATAAATAAATATTTATACATTACTTAGAGAAGAAATTTCAAGTATAATTTTTTTAATGCTCTAAAGAAGAAATAGGTGTTAAAAAGTACTTAAAAAAGAATCTTTTATAGACTGATATAAAATAAAATAATATAAAAGTGTCATTCCTATATCTATATCACCTTTCATACTAAATTAGTAAACGATGATGTCGATAACGTGGGTCAGTTTCGCAAGGTTGCGATTAAATATTTAATGAAAATAATTCTATGTAATTCTGCTTACCCTTTAACATTTTTACGTTAAAATTTAGACAAGTTTCAAAGTCAAAGTCAAGGAATAATTAACTACCTCAAGTCTTTAATTGTCTTTGTTTTTATTTACTTATTACGTGTGTTTAAAATAAAAACTCGGGCAAACAAAGTTTGATTTTATTTAATTGATTCACATGTAAAAGTAGGCGGTCTCTCGGAGAGAGGGTTCCAGAATATTTGCTAACATTATTATATGTTATGGACATTTCCTACATTACTGTAAGCGCAGGAAAGACAACAAAGACCACACCTGAGTGCACCCATGTGCAGCCACTGAACCGTAAGCTCCTAGTTAAATAAGCCCCCCAATTTTATTTATTTTTTTTTTTTATAATAACAATAATAACCATATTACTTCATAGATTTATATTTGTATTGAAGTCATAATGCGGACGTAATATTTTTAATAAAAATGAAAATTATGAAAACTACATTAACTTATAGGCGAATCGATTAATCATAAATTATTGCAGTGTAAAGAAGTGCAAGGGTAAATCCTTGAAGAGTTCCGATACATTGTTTGGGTAAAGCTCAAAAATAAGTATAGAAAAATTGAAATTTCTTTTTGCTTTAATCACTTTTTGCTCATTGTTACATGACTGCATTCTATCACGATTTGTTTCACTTGACGGCAACCCCTTGAGGGATAAAGGAATTTACATTTAGGTCGTCGCGACAATGATTGATAGTATCATTGACTTTTTTAAACTCTTCTGAGGAAATAAAATTTTTTTTTTTTTATTAATTTTTTATGTAAATATCTTGAAGTTTGTTTTATTATAAAATTATTTTGCTTTATTACAGTGTCTGAAATATTGCACTGATAAAAAATTATTTTTATTTAAAAGAAGAAATAATTTAAATAAGAAATTCATTTTTAAGAATTTTATCACTTTAAATTAAGAGAAAAATTTTCAAATTAAATGAAGTAAAATTTACTTTAATAGAAAAATTTTTTGTTAAAAAATTCTAATAATTTTTTTGTAAATAAGGAAGTAAAAATAAGTTTTATTATTGAAGTAGATACTTTTTAAATTAATGTTGAAAAATTTCTAAAACTTTATAAAATATCGCACGAATAAAAAATTACTTATTTTAATTCAAAAGAAGAAATATTTAATTAAGAATTTTATCACTTTAAATTAAGACAAAAATTCTTATATTAAATTAAATTAAAATTTCTTCTTTAAAATTTTTTTTACTTTGGAAATAATGCATTTTTTTAAATCAATTTTTATTTATTTTTTTTTTTAATTAAATTAATTTTTTAATCAGTCAATATAATAAATTAATATTAATTTCGTGTCAAAATAATTAATAGAAAAAATTTATAAAAAATATATTAAACATAAATTTTAAAGAAGAAATATTAAAAAAAAAAATTGTTTTAAAAACAATTTTTTTTTTTTTTTTAATTAAATTAATATTAATTTCAAGTCAAAATAATTAATAGAAAAAAAATGTTAATTAAATTTTAAAGAAGGAATATTAAAATTATTCATTTTGTACTTAATAAATATAAACAAAGTAATAAAAAATAAAAATAAAAATTCTTACCAGTAATGAGATAAAATTTTAAACTTTCATGTCACAATTAAAACTTTAAATATTTTATCAAAGAAGAAATAATAAATTACTCGTTGTAATTGTTGAGTGAAATAAGTAAATAATAATATTTAGCAGTCTTGGATCGATGAAGAAAATAATACTTGGCAAAGAGAAGTTGGGTAGATGGTAACAAACAGATTAGAACGAAAGCTTAGAGAGTATCGAGAACACCAGGCACAATCCGGTCGGGTCGAGTCACGGTGAAGAACTGGCCAGCGGCCGGCGGATTTACACACCACGAAACCTTTGAAATTTACCTACGTCGTAAAAGTATCGTCCACTGTGCTATTATATTGTAATATACTACGACCCTTCCATTGCAACCTGCCAGCGGCATTACGAGTATGCTCAGGTGTTTAATGTCCAGTCCACAACTCCCTTTGTTTATCGATTCGTACGCAGGATCATTTGTATTCTTCAATTGCTAAAAGTAAAACTCATATTTTATCTTCATACTCTTGTAAATATAAATAACAGTCATTTTCAAAGTAAAAGTTTATTTAATTTACCGTGGCTAAGAAAGTCAGCTCTCTAATTTGTCACTTTTTACTCTTTTCAAATAAATTGATCGACACAATAAACTTTTGATTTTATTTTTAAGCCCCCGGCCTTCGGTACTTATTTTTTGTCCGACTTACATTATTTAAAAGTCGACCTCATAAGATCATCAGCTTCAGATAATCTATCATTGATTATAAACTTCTTCTTACTATACTGTTATATATTATTCTTCAGAGCGGTGTACTATTAAATAAATCCAAATTAATGCAGAAAATAAAACTATTTCTTCCCAATTAAACTCTAGAAAGTTTGATATGCTGCTATGCACCCCAGTAATCAATTATTACAAAAGTAAAAAAATTATTGCAATTAATTTTCCATTATCAAAAGTTTTTAAAAATAAACTATGTCTAAAAAATTATTTTTTAAAAATTTTTCTTCTGATAATTTGTTTGTAAAAAAAATTTTTAATATTATTATTATTTCTTCACTAAAAATTTTTTAAAAATAATAGAAAATAAAAGCAATTGCTTGCACGGTCATTGAAATCGCTGAATAAGTAATAAAAAAAATTAACACCAGTGAAAAAATTGTCACTATACGCATGAAAATATTGTAACAATTGTACTAATGCGTGATAGGAAATGCTAATGATTTTGGGAAGTGATCTTGTCGGATGATTGTCATGATGGTAACGCTCTGCTGCTTGCTCTATTGACGGATTTTTTTTCCTATGAAATAATATAAATTATTTTCGATTACTCAATTCTATAAATAATTAAGAAATGACCTTGTATCTTGTAAACTATTGACATTTTTAAAGATATAAGCTCATCCCGATGTTATACTCATCAAGACCTTTCATTTAAGTACCCACATCAATTTTTCATATCAATTTTTTATATATTTTATATATTATATATATTTCACAAATACTACATATGAAAAATATATCAAAAATGCATGTGGGGTACTCAAATGAGCTCTTGATGAGTATAACATCGGGATGAGCTTATATTTTTAAAATATATGTTATATATATGTATATATGACAAATATATCAAAAATGCATGTGGGTACTCAAATGAAAGCTCTTGATGAGTGTAACATCGGGATGAGCTTATATCTTTAAAAATGTCAATATTTAAAAAAGTACAGTGCAATTTAACAAAAGTCATTATTTAATAAAATTTTAATATAAAATAGTTGAATAAAATTGTTCAAACTTTAGAAGTACGGAGAGAAGACTGGATATATTCAGCAGACATATCAGAATATGCAAAGTAACGTCCGCATAGCTTTCCAGTCAAAGTGTGTTACTACCCCTCGTAAGTTAAGACGGTCAAGCAGAGGTCGATAATCTTTCGCTCCTGGGTCAGTTAACGCTTGACACGCTAACTCTGTATAGTACTTGGGTTTGCTAACTTAAACGGGAATTAAATCTGTTCCAGTGCAGTGCAGAAGATCTGTAATTTTTTTTTTTTTTACGGCGCCTCGTTCTATTTTTTACTTTTACGATTGTAATTGTAAAAGATATAATATAAAAATACAGATATATTAATCTATTGGGTTTTTATTTAATGATTCATTTTATGATCCGTAGACGATTTAGTATCGTGTGATTATAATGAGGGGAGTCGCATGATTGTCGATGCAATCAGAAATAGTTACTGGCTTGACACGCAACTGTTTTATCCAGTACTTCTTTTGTTCTGCGTCTTACTGAGATTATCAACTGTAACTATAAATATAAATATAAATATAAATAGAATTACTGTAATACCTGGAAAATATTTTAAACCTTAGTTAATTATTAACAATAGTGAATAATACTGTGAATGTTGTTTAGTTTTTGTTTATATTTAATTAAAAGTAAAATACAAATTTCCAGCTTATTCGTTTTCTTCAGAACGGATACGTGCGTTAGCGTTCGTTACACGGATAGACAATTGCTGGGCACGTTCAACAATGGATTTGCGTTTTTTACTGCTTACTGCGTGGGCGATTTCAGCGCAGAATTTACGGTTTTGCATCATCAGGACTTCCAATTCCTAAAACAAAAAAATAAATTATCATTAAAAATAACAATTTTTAAATGATCTTAAATTTTAATCAAATATTGTCAAAAATATAATAGCAGATATTATAATTTAATAAAAAAAAAAATTATTTAGTAAATTATTAATGTAAAAATATCAAGTTAATAATTAAAGGTTTTTTTTTTTTTTTTTTATAATTAAATAAAATTTAAAAAGAAAGTCGAAAGATATATTTAGTTAATGTATTATATAATTATGTAAAAGACACTAGTTAAATAAATAAAATCCTAATATTGTTATTACTTTTTTTATAATTCATAATTTGAAAAATAAATTCTTTTGATAACACTAAAGTTAGCCGACGTTTTTAATTTTTTTTAATTATTAAATAAGAACTAAAAAAATTGCACTTACAGTTTATCAAGTTTTTTTACAAATGAAAATTTTTTTTTTATTTATTCAATAAAAACAAATTCTTAAAATTTTTAGATGTCGGCTAACTTAATTTGCATATTTTTTTTGACTAAGTTTTAATAAATTTTTAAAAATTACACTCTAATATCTAGATAATTAATTAATTTTTTGTCAATTGTTATAAGTTAGATTATTATGAAACAATTTTAATAAAAATAAAAAATAATTTTTGACTAAAATTAGCAAAGTTTCGATAAATTTTTTTCATCAATTGAATTAAAACTAAAAAAAAAAATTGCATGTACTGTTTTAATTTTCTAAATGTAAAATTTTTAGTTTTTGTAATAAATTTATCAATAAAAAACAATCTAAAAATTCTCAGATATCTGACGGTTTAATTAAGTGATGTATCTTCTTAATTTCATAAGTTAAAAATAATTCAACTCAAAATTCAATACTTTAATAAATAATTTGGAGTTAAAATTACCTTGACATTGTGTACGAGGACTTTCCTGAATCCAGTGGGTAGCATATGTCTAGTTTTAGCATTACTACCGTAACCAATGTTGGGCATCAAGTACTGGCCCTTGAAACGTCTACGTACTCTGTTGTCAATACCCTTGGGCTTCCTCCAGTTACGCTAAATAATTAAACAAATAATATTACCAATAAGTAATTGTTGACTTTAAGTAAATTAATGTGTATAAACAAATAGTTAGCAAGAGGTTATACCTTGAGCTTGTCATAGCGGTCACTTTGATGTCTAACGAACTTCTTTGTCCTCTTCTTGACAATCGTCGGCCTGTACGCTGGTCTAATTGCCATTTTATCGCTAAATCTGAAGTACAAAAATAAAAAAACACAATTTAGTATCAATTATAACCTCCAAATTATCACGAGCACAGTGGCGAGTTTAATTTTTTTTATTAGGTCATTTCCAGAAAGAATATTATCAGAAAAACTGAGTTTTTGTATTTGCTTATAAAATAAAAAATTTTTTATGTTTATTAATAAAAAGATTATATTTTTATTTAAGGATTTAATTAGAGTAGTTGCATATACACGTACCGTTAGCTTAGCGAGGCGAAATGAAAAAGATGGGGAGGAGAAGTTAGTTGTCCTACCTCTATAATGTAGTGTACAGTGTGTCGCGGTCAATATTAAACTATAGCAAAAAAATAGTAATTTAATTTTAATAATGAAAAAAAAAAGTTACTAGTATTTTTAAAGTCCCTAGAATTTTAAGGCTAGTTTTTAAAATTATTGCGCGCGCAATAATTGGTTGGGGATTTTTTGTGTTTTTATTAAATTTTTATATTTATTTATATGAAAATTAAGCTAAAAAATTATTATTTGGACTTTCTAAATAAAGTAAATATTTTTTTACAATAATTAATTTAATTCTTTAAATTCTAAATTTTGTCTTTATAATTTTTTATAAAAAAAAAGTATTTGAATTTTAAAAATAAATTTATATACTATATTTATTATAATACTAAAGTTAGTCTAGAGATTTTTTTTAATAAATATAATTAATACTATTATTAAATAAATAATCTGAATTAGGCAGTTAAGACTAATGGGAGCAAAAATTTTAATAGTATATTACACACCTAGGGAAGTAAAGTAAGATATGTCTCAGATCACATGTAATTGTCATGTGATCTGAGGCTTTCTTATTTACTTCCCGTGGAGTGTATACTATTTTTTTGTTCGACGAAGGCAGAAAGTGGCACTTTCGTTTAGCGCAGCGGGCCGAAAGTTAACGCTTTCTGCCCGTCGAGCAAAAAAAAGAATGAAAGGTTTAAATATAAATAAATAAATTATATTTATATTTAATGTAAATTATATTTATTAAATATAAATAAATATTTTATATTTATATTTTTTATACAATATTTAATTAACTACTAACAAAATTCAGATGAAGTTATGTAACCTTGCAACCTTGCAACCTTGATGATACAAATATTGAGCTTGAGGTAGAAAAGATTATACGTAAAGATTAAATTTATTTATCCGTTTTGTCGTTTGCGGCCAGTTTCTTTTTTTTGTTTCTTGTCTTTATCGGTTTTATCTTTTTTAGAATTATTTCCCTTTTCCTTTAATGGCTTCTCTGCAACTTAAAAAATAAAGCAAATAATTTTAGTAATCATTTTATTTATCTGTTTATTAAAATAAATTTTATAAAATTCATTTTTGAATTACTAGACATTAAAAAAAAATTTAATAATTTAAAATATCTTTTAGATCAATCATATTTTTAGCATATTTTTCAATTCTTCGCCAAAAAAAAGGAACGAGTCCTTGACGTCTCCTCCGGTAGAATAAGAAATACTAGGTGAATTATCACCATCGATAGCGTCTGATATCTCACTTTTCCTCCGTAGTTGATATGCGACTTTCTTGTAACTTGTCCGCGTTAAAGAAATACTTGATAAAGTTGAAAGTTTCTGTTAATTGAGCTTTGACGTTTCTACCTTGGTCTTTTCTACCATACAATGAATAACGCTGAACAAACCAGAACGCAAACCACCATCATTGAAAAATAATACCGAACAGAACTCATTGTAATCAAATTTTGTAAGTATGTATCACTATTTAATGTTCTTAAAATATATTAACTTTTAAAAGATGTTAACCAAACTGGAGTTGGCATGAGAATGAAGAAACCAAAATGAAAATGAAGAAAACTAAAGGAATTATCCGTGATGACTCATACGTAAAGAAGTTTGAAGGATTAAATTTTTACTTTAGGGAAAACAAAATATTCTAAGAATTGCCAGTTTACATTAAACTGATTACGGATTACATTAAGTAATATTCTATTATTTTATTAGAATATTTAAAAAAAAATTAAAAGTTCACAAGATAGCAATGTCAGTTCTTAATTATTGACATTTTAAAAGATATAAGCTCATCCCGATGTTAGATTCATCAAGAGCATTCATTTGAGTACCCACATGCATTTTTGATTTATTTTTCATATATACATATATACATAAAATATATAAATATATGAAATATATAAAAAATTGATGTGGGTATTCAAATGAAAGATCTCGATGGGTGTAACATCGGAATGAGCTTATATCTTTAAAAATGTCATTAGTTGACAAGATAGCAGTGTCAGTTCTTAATAATTGACATTTTTAAAGATTTAAGCTCATCCCGATGTTACACTCATCGAGACCTTTCATTTGAGTACCCACATGAATTTTTGATTTATTTTTCATACATACATATATATAAATATATAAAATATATGAAAAATTGATGTGGGTATTCAAATATATAAACTAAATTTTCAAACACACCATTTATTTTTATAATTAATTTTTGACTAATTGATTTATTAGAGCTATGGGGCGCGTTTGATTTAAGCCGAAAATATATGTATATAAAATAAAATAAATTGAATTATAAATATTATCGAATATAAAATATTTATCTATTGGAATCTTATGAAAAAATAGTTTAATAACGGAAACAAAGTTCCGTTATTTAATCTGTACTGCACAAAAACTATAATAGTTAATATTTTTGACGTTCTTTCTTATTATAAGTTTGTATATACCTATTCATTAAAAAACTGTAAGTACAATTTAAAAAAAATATTTTGTTCTAATTTAATTATTGAAAAAACATTAAAAATATCGGGTAACTTAAGTGTTATATTTAAATGTCATAAAAATTATTAAAAAAAAAATTTTTTTTATTTTAATTTTCTAAAAATTCCAGTTTAATTTTACGGTAATTACTTTTAGTATTTTAAAAGTGGCGCTACTGTTCAAAATAATTCAAATCCCCGCGAAAAGTTTAAATTTTAAAACTCCATTAAATTTTTTCTTTTTTTTCCAACTATTCCTAAAAGTCTCAAAAAAATAAAAAACTCAGTGTATAAATAAAATTAAATAATAAAATAAAACAATAAAAACTACAAAAAAATCCCTAAAAAAGCGTTTTAACAAATCCGGTGTCAAACAACAACGCCCCCAGTGTGTCTTTAAGAACAAAATAATTATAGGTATAGTATAATAGTGTGAAAATATAGATTAATAAAAATAGTAAAAGTGAATAAACAACAAAAGTCGTCAAAATAATTCTTTAAAATACTTAAAAATAAAAAAAAAAACAATTATAAATAACCCAAGTTAAATTTATTATATCCCCGGAGTATTTTGGCGGGGTGACGTGTTTCAACAACTCAGCGGCTATTGACAGCAGCCATATTGCTGAAATTGATATATATAGTGTTGTGTTGGGAAAGGAGCTTTATGATTATCATTCCTCTTGCGCGTTTATAATTACGTATACAGTTAACTGGAAATGGTGTTAAAAAAAAATTATTAAATAAAGGTTTAAGTGTAGTAAAAAAATGGCTCTAAAATAAAAATAAACAAAAAATCCAAAAGTGTTTCTAAAAAAAAAAAATCAAAACAAAGTTGTAGATTTATTATAATTATAACTAAAAAATAAAACACAAAATTAAAACCCAGAGTGTTGAATTGATAAAATAGTAATGTGGAATATTAGAGGATCAGGATCATCAGCATCGGGCTCAAGTTTACCAGTAACACTGATTATACTTGGTGTAAAAGAGAGAGCGCGATTGAGTAAACCCGAGGTAGGGGGCAATGCACCATGGGAATTATTTTGGCCACGCGCCTGCGTATTTTAGTTTACAGTTGGAGCTTGGAAGAAAATGGCGTCAGCTAAGTTTCTGGAGGAAGCTCTCAGCACGGACGTCGATGAATCCGCGGTAAACGCGATCGTGGGCTCGCTCGAGACGCAGTTGGTAACGTCGTCGCCGGCAGTCGCGGGTCACTCTTTAGTAACTTCAGCCACGGGTCACCAGAACCATCACCACCAGTTAACCACGGGTATTTCGAACGGGGGCAGCATCCCCAGCGCGGTACAGAAACATGGGGTTGCCAACGGCGGCGGTACCACCACCGTAAACAACTCACTGATGACTCAGGAAGTCACCAAGTCCATTACTACGACCACCTTGCTGCCAGTTAACGTCGTCAGCTCTTCCCAGGTCGTAGTTTCTACTCAACATCAGCAGCAACATCATCAACAACACCAACAACACCAACAACACCAACATCAAGTGCAGCAACATCAACAACACCAACAGCACCAACAACAGCACGTCCATACTGTAAGCACCAGCGGGGGGAACATCAGCAGTGCCGGTAGTGCGTTCCCGATCAACCAGGTCCAGGTGACGAGCAACCAGCAACAGCCGAGCAACATCGCCCTGACCAAGGCCCACGAGTCCGTAAAGTTGATCTACAACCCGGCAGTAGCTGGGCAAGTGGTTACCTCTGGTGTTGTTAATGTTAATAATAAACTGACTTTCCCCGCGCAAACTGTCGGGCAGCTAGCCAACGGGACTCTCGGGGTTTCCTCGCAGGGAACTGTGCTTCAGAGTGCCTCCAATGTCGTCGTCAGCAATGTCGGCTCGGTAGTGACTCAAAGTGGACAGCAAACTGTTGTTGGTGGGGTTAATAAACCCGGGCCCGGTACTGCGCTTGTTATTAAGACTAGTGGTGCACCTGGGGGCATGGTTTCTGTTCCGATGTCCGTTCCGGCTTCTGTCGCTGGTAATGTCGTCACCACGACGTTACAGGCCAAAGCTGGAGGAGTCGCCTCGTCCATTGTGCCTAGCAATGTCCAGTTTGTTAATGTTAATGCGGTGAGACCCGGAACTCCCGTGGCTGGTCAGCAACCTGGGAAACAAGTCGCTGCCTCTAGGGTTGTTATTGGGCCGCATATTGTCAATACTAGACCTGGAGGTCCAGGGGTAATTTTTTTTTTTTATAATTGTTTATTTGTTTACTAATTTTATGTTTGGATTTTTAGATAGACTGAGGAAGGCTTCATAGGCAAAACACTAGTTTTTTTTTATTAAAAATTTTATTTTTTTTACCATCATTATTTTATTTAAGCTTGCCATTTTTAAATTGACAACTTTCAGGAGAGATGCTTCAAATAAAAGACCACTTAAATATTTTATATACAAAATTAATGACTAAGTTTTTATAAGGTTTTTGTTACTTAATTATATACACTGAGAAAAAAAAAATAATCTTACTCAATTAACAATTTTTTGGTTCAAGAAACTCGCTGACAATCAAATATTCTATTAATTATTAATTTCTGAAGAAAAGAACATCAATATTTATCTTTGGATAAACAAAAAAATTGCTTTATTTAAATTGAGTAAAAATTATTTCTATCAATTTAACACAATTTCTTCACAGCTAAGAATATATATTTTTGAAAATTTTCAACAACATAAATTCTTGTATCAAGAAAATTTTCTTAATAAAAGTATTTTTTTTCTCAGTGGAAAATGAGAATATTTTTAAAATAAATAACCTTTTTCAAAAAAAAAAAAAAAAAAATAATAGCCTGAGAAAGTGCAAATAAAATCCACAAAACGTCGCTAAATAATAAATCTTAGTGTCTAATAAGATCCTACATTTTCTCATCTTTAATTATTTTATTTATTTGTTTAAAAAATTTATGATGATCAATTAAATTTTATTATTTAGATTACACTGCAAACTCTTCATGGATTGCAACCCGGTACCCAGGGACACCTGATTGTCAAAACAGAAAATGGACAGTATCAATTGTTGAGGGTAGGCCCGGTCTCAGCAACTCCTGGCGGGAATGCTGTCCCTCCTAATAACATTGCGGGGAACGCAGTGGTTGCCTCGACTCCTGGAGCAACTGCTTATCGTCTGACCTCTGTACCGGCTGTAAGTAGGCTGAACGCTCAGTTCACTGGGCCACCACTCGCCACCATTCGAAAACCCGTTCAGGTGACGCACCTCATACCTTTTGAGACCGATTTTTAAATGCTCGTGTAGAATTTTAGATTTTTATTTTTAGACTTTTTTTTAGTTGAATGATTCTGGTAAGGTGATTTATTATTATTATCATTTACTTTGATTACTTTTGTTATTGTTATGATTTACAGTAGATCACGTTTTGTTTATTGTTATAGCTCCTAGCTTTGTGCATCAACGTTCATACGAGGATTTGCATGTTATGTAGCAATCGCTTAGGAGTTTATTTTATTTAAAGAATTTTATTTGCTAAATTTTTTAAGCATGTGCTGAAGAACACATTTATTTTAAAGTTTTTAAAAATTACTTCTCTCAGTCTAAATTTTGTTGAATTTGAAAAAATTATTATCTATCTTATCGTAATTATCTTTTGGGACATAAATTTTAGCTTACAATAATTACTCTATCAATTAGTGAGCATTGTAATTTATCAGGATTTATTTTATAAAAAATATTATGGGGTTTTTTAATTTAATATTTTAAAAATATTTAAATGGGTCTATGAGGTTTGAGTGCGTCTTGAAATTATGCATTAAAAATTTTATTTTTTGGAGTAATTTCCAAGCAAGTAAATAAATTATTTTATTTATTTAATTATTATAAAATCGTTTGGCTTGATTTTAAAATTTTATTAAAGATAAATTACAGTAAATTGGTTTGTGGATTTATTCACAATGATTATTATTAATTATAAATTTATTTATTAATTAATTAGACGGTAGCTCCGAGCGTAACCACGACGACAGTTACACCAGGAACAGTAGTGAGTTCTACTACGACGGCAACACCCGCAACAACGCCAGCCACGACAACTCCAGTAGCGCAAACACCTCAACAGGTATTTAAATCAATTTAATTAAATATTTATTGGAGTGATAGTGAGGATTGTATTAGTTGTTTAACCCTGATGATTTTTATTTTATAGCGCCAAACCGCAGATAATACCAAAGAAAAGTGTCGTAAATTTTTAGCAAACTTGTTAGAATTATCTAGTCGGGAACCTAAAGCAGTGGAACGTAATGTACGGTCGTTAATACAAGAGTTAATTGATACTAAAGTTGAACCTGAAGAGTTTTGTGATAGACTCGAGAAATTATTAAACGCATCTCCTCAGCCATGTTTAATTGGTTTTCTCAAAAAGAGTTTGCCGCTTTTAAGGCAATCACTTGTTACCAAGGAATTGGTCATCGATGGTATCAAACCACCACCTCCAAATGTTGTTTATTCGATAGCATCATCTCCAATCATTACACAAGTATGTTTTATTATTATTATTTATTTATTTATTTTTTTTTATAATCTTTAAAAATTTCTTTTAAATTTAATTGAATAATATGCCGTGAACTCTTGACATTTTTGAAGATATAAGCTCATTCCGACATTACACTCATCGAGACCTTTTATTTGAGTACTCACATCAATTTTTCATATATTTATATATATTATATATATATATATATATGTATATATGAAAAATATATCAAAAATGCATGTAGGTACTCAAATGAAAGCTCTTGATGAATGTATCATAGAGATGAGCTTATATTTTTAAAAATGTCAATAATTAAGAACTAACACTGCTATCTTGTCAACTAATAATATTTTTAAAGATATAAGCTCATCCTGACATTACACTCATCGAGACCTTTCATTTGAGTACCCACATCTATTTTTCATATATTTTATATATTTATGTATATTATATATATATATATATGTATGTATGAAAAATATATCAATAATGCATGTAGGTACTCAAATGAAAGGTCTCGATGAGTGTATCATCGGGATGAGCTTATATCTTTAAAAGTATCAATAATTAAGAAATAACCTTTATCTTGTGCACGATTGACATTTTTAAAGATATAAGCTCATTCTGATGTTACACTCATCGAGACCTTTCATTTGAGTACCCACATCAATTTTTCGTATATTTTATATATTTATATATATATTATATATATGTATATATGACAAATATATAAAAAAATGCATGTGGGTACTCAAATGAAAGCTCTTGATGAGTGTAACGTCAGGATGAGTTTATACCTTTAAAAATAATAATATTTATGAAAGTACAGAGCAATTTAATAATATTAATTATTTAATAAAACAAAATTTTAACTAAATAAAATTTTCTAGAATCAAATAAGGCCAACAGTTGCAATGTCGACGGTACCAGTAGTAGTGTCCAGTTCACCAGCTCCATTAAGAGTTATGGCACCTCCCTCTGTAGTAACATCAACAGTTGGTCCTCGAGCGCCTCAAGCGATTCCATCTAGACTGGTAATTAATCAATAAACTAATGAACTGAATATTTTTAATTATAATTAATCAAGGTCATTAAAAATAAGAGTAAAAACATAATTAATTTTTATATTAGATACGACCGATGACGACAATAGTTCGCACTCCAGTGGCACATACTGTGAAATCAACCGTAGCGCTTACGAATGTGAGACTGGCTTCGCCAACTGTACAGAAATCCCCGATAACTACCAGCACACTTATTAAAACGATACCCACTGCTACGCAGGGTAAGACAGTTAACGCCGCCACTACTGTTAATAAAACCACAGTGCCTTCTCTTGTTACTAAACCACCGAATAAAGAAAAAGAAAAAAAGACTTTTTCATCAGCAGGCTACACGTAATTATTAATATTCATATTTTATTTTTTTATATTTTTTTTTTTTTTAATTTTATTTCATGAATTTTTTTTTTAATTAAAGGGGTGATGATGACATCAACGATGTCGCGGCGATGGGAGGTGTAAATCTCGCTGAAGAGTCTCAGAGAATTCTTGGATCAACAGAATTTGTCGGTACGCAAATACGGTCTTGTAAGGATGAAGTTTTCTTACATGTCTCGCCACTTCAGCAGAGGATTAAACAAATTGGTAATTTTTTTTTTTTTTAATTAAAAATTAAAAAAAAATTTTTTTTAACATTTGATGTAATATTAGTTTCGAGTTACGGGCTTGAAGAACCGAATCAAGAAGTCGCAGCATTAATATCTCATGCGACTCAAGAAAGGTTAAAGAATTTAGTTGAAAAACTGGCAGTTATCGCTGAACATCGGATAGATTTTATAAAAGTGAGTATTTAATTAATAAAAATATTAATAATTAAAAAATTACCTTTTATCTTGTGAACTATTGACATTTTTAAAGATATAAGCTCATCCCGATGTTACACTCATCGAGACCTTTCATTTGAGTACCTACATCAATTTTTCATATATTTTCCATATATACATATATATATAATGTATATAAATATATACAATATATGAAAAATTGATGTGGGTACTCAAATGAAAGATCTTGATGAGTGTAACATCAGAATGAGCTTATATCTTTAAAAATGTCAATAGTTAAATGACATTGCTATCTTGTCAACTAATGACATTTTTAAAGATATAAGCTCATCCTGATGTTACTTTCGTCAAGACCTTTCATTTGAGTACCCACATCAATTTTTCATATATTTTATATATTTACATATATATATATATATATATGTATATATGAAAAATATATCAAAAATGCATGTGGGTACTCAAATGAAAGCTCTTGATGAGTGTAACATCGGGATGAGCTTAAATCTTTAAAAAGGTCAGTTGTTAAGAAAATACAGTGCAATTTAATAAAAGTAATTACTTAATAAACCAAAATTTTATTTATTTATATTACACAAGTTACGGTAGTCACATATTGTGACTGCAAGGTTGCTAGTATTATATTAAATTAAATATTTTATAACTAATTTAGGTTGACCCTCGGTATGAAGTAACGCAAGACGTGAGAGCTCAGCTTAAATTTCTTGAGGAACTCGACAGAGTAGAACGTAGAAGACACGAAGAACAGGAACGTGAGTTGCTGTTGAAGGCCGCGAAAAGTCGCGCGAAAAACGAGGATCCTGAGCAAGCTAAATTAAAAGCTAAAGCCAAGGAGGTAATTTTATCATCTTCTTTTTAATTAAAAACAAGTCTTATATATAGTATATAAACTAATAAATAAATTTTTGTATTTCTTCAGATGCAAAGAGCTGAGATGGAAGAGTTACGGCAACGTGAAGCGAATCTTACAGCATTGCAGGCGATAGGTCCGCGGAAAAAGCCGAAATTAGACACTGGTAGTTCGACAAATAACCCTGGAGGGAGTGCGAGTGTAAATGCCTCCGCGTCAGGAGTTAACAGACCAATGCCAATGAGGCCGCGAGTGAAGAGAGTTAACTTTAGGGACCTTTTGTTCCTCCTCGAGCAGGAGAAGGAGTCGTGTAGAAGCACAACGCTCTATAAAGCATACTTGAAGTGATGTTCTGTAAGGGGTAGGAACGCGAGTGATCGGCTCGAGTTGGCCTCGACGGTCCTCCTCTGCTATTTATGCTGTTACTATTGCTGCTATTATTATTCTAATTGTTCAGATAATGATGATGATAATATCAACAATATTGCGTTATACGTAAATTGTATACATGGGACGTGTACTCGGCTAATGTTCACTCAGATCGGCCTGGTATTTTTTATAAATTCCAAATTCATTTATTGATTATTGATAATCAAATATTGATTATGATTAATTGATAAATAATAATAGTTATAATTTTTATCGCGGTAATAATTTCAAAATTTAATAATTAATCAAATTAAAAAAATTTAAAAAAATTTTTCCGTATTTTAATTTTTCGATGCAAAAAAAAAAAATTTTTTTTTATTAATTTTTAATCCAAGACATTAAATTCATTCAAAAATAATTTTATAAACTGACATAATTTTTTTTTTTATTAATACTTTGAAGATGATTATTCCAATAAATTTTATTAATATTAATATTCAATTCCTACGACGTATTTTTTGGAGTTATTACCGCGATATAAATAGTTATAATTATAATAATATCACGTCGATAATACAACATACACACACACTTCCTATTAACGACTGAAAAAGTTTTTTAATGTATAATAATATTATATACATAGGTTTATAAATAGATTGTTCTTTATTTTTTTGAAGAAAAACAAAGTAATAAAAAATAATAATAATAATTATTATTATAAAAAAATACCATGGATTGGCTGGGCTATAGTGAACATATAAACGTTTAGTGAAATGCGATTATGTAAATTGTGAATAGAGATTGTGGGAGGGTTGTGTTTAAATTAAAAAATCTTTTTCAAATTACTTTCGATCAATTTTTAATAATTCTCTTCTACTAAGTGTTATTAATTGATGTAAAAGTATGTTGAAAAGATTTATCTGAGAACCTTCTCGGAGTGATACAATCATTTATGTGCGTATACATTGCCACGTTGTGTATGTCTCTTTAATTGTAATACTTGGTCTATACATTTGGACGTGCAGTGCAAGTTGTATCATGTAAGTGATTAGTTACATTTTTTTTTCTTAATTAATTTTTTTTTTTTTATAAATATAATTATTATATAAGTAATTATTATTATTATTTTATTAATATTCTTTTTATTATTAATAATTATAATAATATGGTAATAGATTTATAGTAAATTGTATTTTTGCAAATAATTATATAATTAATTGATTAAAATAAATAATTAAGAATCCGTGAAGCACTGTCCAAATTGTATAGTTTTATTTGTACAATATATTATTATTTCTTACTATTATTATTGTCATTATTAATTATTAGTTATTAATTATTACAATTATGTAAAAAAACTTTTTAATATTCAATAATTTTTATGGTAATTGAAAAAAAAAAATAAACTGGAAAAAATAGACTCGGAAAAAATTTTTATGAACAAATCATATTATTTTATTAAAATTATTATAAAATATTACACCCGTAATTTTCCTAAAGATTACTCCATTTTTTATTACAAAAAAAAAAAAATGAAAAAAAAATTCCGGGTCTATTTTTTCCGGGATTAAATTTTCATATTGGTACAACGGAATATTTAAGTGGCTACTCGATTATTCTTCACCATTTAATTGTTATTATTCTATATATTGTAATTTAGATTCTCAATGTTTTTTAGTAAATTAGCTGTTATGTTTTTTTCTATTAATTAATTAAAATAAGTGAAATTAAATTTACCTAAGTGATTAAATTTAAATTGAAAATAAAAAATAATTAAATAAACACGATTCTTTTTATCAGAAAAATATAATAATAAATGTGTAATAAAAAATCGTGTACCTGATTTATAATTTGAAGAAATAATTGATTTAAATTTAAAAAAAATTTTTTTTTTTATTTTATGGCGTAATTTTATAATTATTCTCAGTTTTATTATTCTAAAATATTATTAATGATTTTTTTTTGACAATTCAGTGAAGATTAATCGTTTGCATTAATAATTTATAAAAACAAATGTAAGTTTCAATTACGAAACAATTGTTTGTATAGTACATTGTACAGTTTTAATAATTATCATTATATTGGTTGCGCACTTTAAAGAATAATTAAAAAAAAAATCATTTGAGAAATTATTATTATTATTAATTAATTTTTTTATTCACGTTACAGGTGCTATAATAAATATTCTAATTTTTTTTCTAAGTCCAAAAAAAATTTGTAGTATGGAGAAAAATTTTTTTTTGCATTTCTGGACGTTTCATAAAATAAGTTGATTCCAAAAAAAAATTTTTTTTTTTTTAAATTGAAATTTTTTATGAAATTTGCAAAAATGCAAAAAAAAATTTTTTGCCTGACTAAAAATTTTTTTTGAACTTGGAACAAATTTTAGAATTAATAAAAATTTTTTTTGAACTTAGAAAAAATTTTAGAATTGATAAAAATTTTTTTTTAAACAAAAAAAATAATATAATTTTTTTATACATTCTTATGGCATCTATAACGTGAATTATTTCATTTTTTATATAAAATAATAAAAAAAAATAATTAAAAAAAAACAGTAAGAAATAAATTGAGTTGCGAGACAATCATTATTCCTGAACAAAATAACGCGACAAATTATTTAAAATCAAATCACATTTAATTACACTTTATAATTATATCGTATGTTTATCGCAAGTTTTATTAAAATATTATTTAATACATAATTAATCAAATAATAAAAGACCGTACATTATTTTTTTAAACTCATGTAAGTGCGGTCTTTTTACTATTGAGTATATTAACTAATTATTCTAAGGACTTGTTACTAATAATACGTTATAAATATAAGTTACTTTTTTTTTTTCTTTTTTTTTTTATATAATTCTTTTGATATTTCGGCGAACTAGTCTCGTTGAAGATAGCAATTTATTTAATTAACATGTAATAAAATAAAAAAAGTGCGTGGTGTATTCTAAGTGTACATAATAGTTTATAAAATTAAATTTTAAATGTTTAAATAATCCTGCGTCAAAAAATTAACGTCACTTGTAATATATAATAATGATAATGATAACATTAATAATAATAATAATAATAATAATAATAATAATAATAATAATTATGATATTACTAATAATAATATTAATATATTATACACAAAATAGAATTGTTGAAAGAATATTATAAAAAAAAAAACGTACTACAGCTTGAAAAAGCTGACGTTTTTTTCCTCAACTGCCACCACAGTGGAATTTATTAGACGATAATGATTTTAAAAAACATAATTAAATAAATAATAAACCAAGAACACGGAATAAATGTAAAAATAATGGATTTAACAGTGTTTGGTACAGTATGATATTTTTACAAATTGTATGAATTAAGTCAGGTAGTCGAGATAAACAAATAATAAGAAAAATAAAGGTACGAACAAAAAAATTGTTTTATCTAAAAAAAAATAATTCGGGTTTGTCATTTTATAAAATAGTGAATAATTTCATTTATCTGTTTATATTTTCTTATGGTTTTTATTTTATATTGAAATTTTATTTTTTTGTAATTTTGTAAGCAAAAAAAAAAATTATTTTGCAAAAAACCAGCATTGTGCCTTGCATCTCGTGAACTATTGACATTTTCGAAGATATAAGCTCATTCCGATGTTACACTCATCAAGACCTTTCATTTGAGTATCCACATCAATTTTTCATATATTTTGTATATTTATATGTATTATATATATGTATAATATATATATTATATATATGACAAATTTATCAAAAATGCATGTGGGTATTCAAATGAAAGCTCTTGATGAGTGTATCCTCGGGATAAGCTTATATCTTTAAAAATGTCAATAATTAAGAAATGACCTTTTATCTTGTGAAATATTGACATTTTTTAAGATATAAACTCATCCCGATGTTACACTCATCAAGACCTTTCATTTGAGTACCCACATCAATTTTTCATATATTTTATATATTTATATATATCATATATATGTATATATGAAAAATATATAAAAAATGCATGTGGGTACTCAAATGAAAGCTCTTGATGAGTGTATCATCGCGATGAGCTTATATCTTTAAAATATATATTATATATGTGTCATATATATATATATGACAAATATATAAAAAATGCATGTGGGTACTCAAATGAAAGCTCTTGATGAGTGTAACATCGGGATGAGCTTATATCTTTGAAAATGTCAATATTTAAGAAAGTAGAGTCCAATTTAACAAAAGTCATTATTTAATAAATCAAAATTTTATTTATTTATAGTTCACAAGTCAGGGCAGCCACATAGTGTTTAAAATTTCAAAAAAATGAATTATTTTCTAGAAGAATTTTTTTTCTCAATATAGAGTGTGGATGATGATGATGATTATTTTTATGTACTTATATATAGAGATTTATATCACGAGGCATTTTTGGCTGTTAAAAAATTTTCTAATAGTCTTGAAGGTGATCGCTGTTGGCGATAGCACGTGTGTCGAGAGGTGGTATTGAAGACCAAAGGCTGGAAGCTGAAAACCCGTCGGCGGTATACAGAAATGGAATATAATCAGCTAGGCGCTTCGCTTGGTGGGTTTTGCGCGGCGAGGGATTATCGCCTGAGGCCAGTTTAATCCTCCGGCTACACGGATATTGAGTTCACAGTAACCATGGTAACTTACCCTTGAGCGTTAACATTTGTTCGCTTTATCCCTTATTCCTGCGGTTACGTTATGAACCCAGTCAACGTAACCCGGCTACACTCACACCTCCCCTATTTTTTATATTTATTTACTTATACATCTTTATTTTATTAGTTCGTGTGGCTTCTATTTTTCAACACACTTCAAAGTCATGAATTTTCAATTTATTTATAATTAAAAATAGTAATTAATCAAAAAAAAAAAAATAACTTTTCTTCTTTAAAATATAAAAAATTCACTGTATGTATATTTTTTAAATATATTTTTTTAATAAAATGTCTCTTTAGAAAAAAATAAATGTTTTTTTTGAGCTTGCAACAATGTCCTTAAAGAAGAAATAAGTTAAAAAGCATTTTTAGCCAAATTGAAGACTGTGTTTGACAAGATGGAGTCTTGTTTCACAAAATGGAGGTTCGCGCGCGTATTTAAACGCGCTTTTTATTTAAAATAATATTTTTAAAAAAATATTTAATGTAATTATAGAGTAAAAAGTGAAAATTAAAGTAATAAACATTTTTTTTTTAAGGAAAAAGCATTTTCAGCCAAATTGAAGACTATGTTTGACAAGATGGAGTCTTGTTCCACAAAATGGACGTTTGCGCGCATTCAAACGCGCTCTTTATTACAAATAATATTTTAAAAAGAATATTTAAGGTAATTATAGACTTAAAAGTGAAAATTAAAGTAATAAACATTTTTTTTTTTTTTTAAGGAAAAAGCATTGCTAGCCAAATTGAAGACTATTCTTGACAAGATGGAGTCTTGTTCTACAAAATGGAGGTTCGCGCGCGAATTCAAACGCGCTATTCGCGCTCTTTATTTCAAATAATATTATTAAAAATAATATTTAATGTAATTATATAGTTAAAAGTGAAAATTAAAGTAATAAACATTTTTTTTTTAAGGAAAAAGCATTTTCAGCCAAATTGAAGACTATGTTTGACAAGATGGAGTCTTGTTCCACAAAATGGACGTTTGCGCGCATTCAAACGCGCTCTTTATTACAAATAATATTTTAAAAAGAATATTTAAGGTAATTATAGACTTAAAAGTGAAAATTAAAGTAATAAACATTTTTTTTTTTAAGGAAAAAGCATTGCTAGCCAAATTGAAGACTATTCTTGACAAGATGGAGTCTTGTTCTACAAAATGGAGGTTCGCGCGCGAATTCAAACGCGCTATTCGCGCTCTTTATTTCAAATAATATTATTAAAAATAATATTTAATGTAATTATATAGTTAAAAGTGAAAATTAAAGTAATAAACATTTTTATTTGCATCTTTTACCCAAAAAACATCAAAGCTAAGTCTTTGAGTTGTCATACATAGTTTTAAATGTTATTAAATATTTACATGAAATAAAATAATATTGTATATATTTATAAATACATTAGGTACATGTTAAGAGTAACGTATGTAACAAAAAGACAAAAATAAAAATATAAGAAGAAGAAAGAGCAGAAAATTAAGTAATTAATAATTTAACAATAAACTTCTGAAATCTTGTGTCTTATCTTAAGATTTTTCAATGGTATTGCAAGAAGCAGGCTGTCAAGTGTTGATGCCCTGTCTGACGAACAAGTACTCCGAGAACTGCTGGCTCTCAACACCACCGCCGTTGCTGGCGACCACTCTGAAGCCCGCATTGAGGAGCCTCGTGATCGCTTGGACCGAATTGAGCTTGCAGTACCCGTTGAGAGGAAACCGAATTACGTGACGAGTGTCTTGCTGGTGCCAGGCGACTCCGGAGCGCGCGTCAATTACCGCTTGCGTTGTCTCCGGGAAGACTTCATCCACCAGCGCACGCCCGCCTGACAGCATCACGCGTTCTCCTAGGTCTGGGCTCACGTGCAAAGCCAGACACTCGAAAGACGGTGTTGATCTTTTGTCACCGTCTCTGCTGGGTGGTGTTACTCGACCGTCTCGGCCTATCAGGGATGACAGTGGGCTTGATGATTCCACTGTGCTTCCATTTTTTGTACGTTCTTTTTTTAATTGCTCTATTTGTCGGCACATTGCTGCAAAATTAAATTATATATTGTTTTTTAAAATATATTAATTAATTTATTTATTTTTTTAAGCTTGATTTTAAGAAAAGTCAACAATTTATTATCTGCTAATTTAAGTTTTGTAATTTTTTACAATAAAAAAGAATTTATTATATTCTAAAGTAATGAAAATCTCTAGATACATAATTAAGAAATTATCTTGTATCTCGTGAAATATTGATATTTTTAAAGATATAAGCTCATCGCAATGTTACACTCATCAAGAGCTTTCATTTGAGTACCCACATCAATTTTTCATATATTTTTCATGTATACATATATATAATATACATAAATATATAAAATATATCAATAATGCATGTGGGTACTCAAATGAAAGCTCTTGATGAGTGTAACATCGCGATGAGCTTATATCTT